CTATATCATAGAGACAAACAGAGCAGTTCTGGTCTTTCTTCATCTCTATGAAGCACCGGCTGGTCTGTTCGGTGTCTGGTGGGATGGGACAGCCTGATGGAGCCGTGGAAGGAGGCTGACGGGGGGCATCCCCTCCTGCTGATTTTAAAAGCAGTCCAGCAGCTAGTACTTTCCCTCCACTCTTTAATTCTCTCATGCTATACACACCTGCAAACCCTCCACCATTCATTAGAAATGGTCCTAATCTAATGGTCCTAGGTAGATTAGGACCATTTCTATTGAATGGAGGAGGGTTTGCAGGTGTGGATAGCAAGAGAGAATTAAAGAGTGGAGGGAAAGGAAGTACAAGACCTCTGGAGGACAAATCCATCCATCCTGATCAAATACAGGGATCAGCAAGCCTAAGAGATCAAAAAATTGAATTACTACAACTTGCAACTCATCATTCCTGGAATTAAAACTACCATTGGAAAATACCTCATCTGTCCATTTTAGGACAAAAAGCTGTTTTAGCCTAATTTTCAGTTAGGCTAAAATTAAAGTGAGCGCATAAGAAAATTATATCCAGTTTTTCAGAATATAATCACGGAGTGAACACAGTATTGGATTTTATGTTAATAATTGGACATTTTTTGGATTTGATTTCAATATTTTTTATATATTTTATATATTTTTATAAAGTATAAATGTATCACAATCACATGCTGATATTTATATTGCTTATATCATTTGCTTATTCCATTATATAGTTTTATGTCTTTTGTGGAGCACATATTAAACTTTATAAACACAATTTATTCAGTGGAGTGCGGCACACAATTATTATTTAAATTTATTTATACACACAATTATTATTTAAATTTATTTATACACACAATTATTATTTAAATTTATTTATACACACAATTATTATTTAAATTTATTTATACACACAATTATTATTTAAATTTATTTATACACACAATTATATGAGTTAGTGTTAAGTGTCAGTGAACCACGTTTGTTTTAAGTATAGTAATTTTACTTAATTAATTATTTAATTAATTAATGCACTACAATTACTTATCATAGTAGCTCACAAGCACCCATATATATTTTAAGAGCATAAAGTCATCACTGCCTTTGCCGGTGATGCTGGATCTGCTTTCTCAAGACCAATTTTGCCATTCAGACCCCAAAAGACGTATATTTGATGGCATGAAGTTAAAAGACGGAGGCTGCTAAGTCAGGGATGCTCAGGGGAGGTAGTGGCTACCTTGCTTTAAGCCAAAAAGATCTCCATGAATAAGACCACAGAATTTGGACAACATTTTGTAGATCTTATGGAGCAAAAAGCCTGGAATCCTTTAACGCTGGAAGCAGGCAAGGTTCTGTAATTCTAAAGACTGGGGCTAGACAAGTACCTAGGTTCAAATATGTTAAAAGTTCAAGTTTCAACCTTGTCCACACTTACAGTAGTTAAATTGTCCCTTAACCCTTTAGTGATGCAATTCATAAAGGCTTGCATGAAGTTAAGACCTCCCAGAAAGCATTGTTCCCATATGGAGATTTACCTCTGGTCCTTGAAGCTCTATAAAAACCTCCTTTCTATGCTATAGAAATGGCTACACTCTGAAATCTAACCCTGAAGACTGAGTTTCTGGTTGCCCCAACCATTGCGAAAAGGGGTTTCAGAGCTGCAGGTTTTTGTACCCGAGGAGCCTCACCTAACATTCTACTCAGACAGAATAGTTTATAAAACCTTCAGAAAGTTTTATACCTAGTTTTCTTTTTCATTCCACTTTAACCATGTAGTCAATTTACCATCTTTCCTTGGATGTTGGCTTAACTCTGAAGGACTACTTGGCAACCACCTCTTCAGTTAGGCAAGCTGAAAATCTGCTCTTGGTGCCACATGGCTTAAGGAAAGGACAGTCAACATCCCGTACACGTACAATCGCCACCTGGACAACATGGTCCTCCTGAAACACCTTTATTACGCATTATAAGGTGGACCGATAAGCTCAAGACAGTATAATTTGTAAAATCTTATGCTACTGATCATTAAAAAAAAATTGTCTTCCTTGCACTGATGAGGTAACTCTCAGTGTATGTTGCCGTGATGCACTAGAAAGATGGCAATGGTATATTCATCTTTCCATAATTTTCCTTTCCTGGTGCATCTTTATGGCAGTATACGGACCCTTGCCCTATTGGTGTTAGTCACATAGAATGCTGCAGGTAGAATAAGCCTCAAACCTAACCTATAGCTAACTAGTCTGACCAGATGGAGGGGGCTGAGCTACAATTCAGTGTATACTGCCATAAAAATACATCAGGAAATGAAAATTATGGAAAGGTGAGTATACGATTTTCCATTTTTTTGCATAAGTACATGTTCCCCAGGGCAGTGCCCACCCTGTGCTTTTTTTTTTTTTTACACACCCTTGTCTATTAGCCTGAAAAATTGGAATTTTTTTATTTGACAGATTCAGCTCCTATTGATTTCACTAGGTTTCAGGTTCAGCATCCAAACTTCTTTGAAGTTCAACAAACCCTGTTCTAACTGAACACAGAGCAGTTTGGCTCATCACTAACTAAATTCTATAGAGTAGGGCTTGGTACCCAACAAGACAGTATATCCATACAGGTTATAGTAAGAAGGAGCCAAAGCAATCAAAAGCCCTCACTCTAATTAATGCACAATACCATAAGAACATCTTAGAACAGAAAGTATTCATATATCTCAATCCATCACTTATCCCAAAATTAAAAGGACTAATTTTCATTCTAGACAGTGGTAGGAGCCATTTCAATATATACAATTTGTGATCACTGATTCTATAATATTTGGTTATATTTGCACTATGCACCCGTGGTTCTAGATGTATGTTTGGCCTATGGGGGTTACATAGTTACATAATTAATCTTGCCAAAAAAGACAAAAGTCCATCCAGTTCAACAAAAAAAAACAATTTCTAATCTTATACCCACAACTGATCCAGAGGAAGGCAAAAAAAAAACAAGCAAAGCAAGATCCAATTTGCTCCTGCACGGAAGAAAATCCTTCCAGATCCCCCAAGAGGCAATCGGATATTCCCTGGATCAACTTTCCCTATAAATGTTATATCCAGTTATATTCTGTGTATCCAAGAAAGAATCCAGGACTTTCCTACAGCAATCCACTGAGCTGGCCACAACCAACCCCTGAGGGAATCTATTCCACATTCTCACAGCTCTTACTGTGAAGAAACCTTTCTGTGTTTGGAGATTAAATCTCTTTTCCTCCAGACATAAAGAGCGCCCCCTTGTCCTCTGTGATGATCTCAGGGTGAATAACTACACCGAGTTCACTATATGAACCAATGATGTATTTATACATGGAGAATCATATCCCCCCTTATGTATTATACATGGAGATCATATCCCTCTTATGTATTATACATGGAGATCATATCCCCCCTTATGTATTATACATGGAGATCATATCCCCCTTATGTATTATACATGGAGATCATATCCCCCCTTATGTATTATACATGGAGATCATATCCCCCCCTTATGTATTATACATGGAGATCATATCCCCCTTATGTATTATACATGGAGATCATATCCCCCCCTTATGTATTATACATGGAGATCATATCCCCCTTATATGTATTATACATGGAGATCATATCCCCCCTTATGTATTATACATGGAGGTCATATCCCCCTTATGTATTATACATGGAGATCATATCCCCCCTTATGTATTATACATGGAGATCATATCCCCCCTTATGTATTATACATGGAGATCATATCCCCCCTTATGTATTATACATGGAGATCATATCCCCCCTTATGTATTATACATGGAGATCATATCCCCCCTTATGTACTATACATGGAGATCATATCCCCCCTTATGTATTATACATGGAGATCATATCCCCCCTTATGTATTATACATAGAGATCATATCCCTCCCTTATGTATTATACATGGAGATCATATCCCTCCCTTATGTATTATACATGGAGATCATATCCCCCCTTATGTATTATACATGGAGATCATATCCCCCCCTTATGTATTATATATGGAGATCATATCCCTCCCTTATGTATTATACATGGAGATCATATCCCCTCTTATATATTATACATGGAGATCATATCCCCCTTATGTATTATACATGGAGATCATATCCCTCCCTTATGTATTATACATGGAGATCATATCCCCCTTATGTATTATACATGGAGATCATATCCCCCCTTATGTATTATACATGGAGATCATATCCCCCTCTTATATATTATACATGGAGATCATATCCCCCCTTATGTATTATACATGGAGATCATATCCCCCCTTATGTATTATACATGGAGATCATATCCCCCTTATGTATTATACATGGAGATCATATCCCCCTTATGTATTAAACATGGAGATCATACCCCCCCCTTATGTATTATACATTGAGATCATATCCCCCTTATGTATTATACATGTAGATCATATCCCCCCTTATGTATTATACATGGAGATCATATCCCCCCTTATGTATTATACATGGAGATCATATCCCCCCCTTATGTATTACACATGGAGATCATATCCCCCCTTATGTATTACACATGGAGATCATATCCCCCCTTATGTATTACACATGGAGATCATATCCCCCCTTATGTATTACACATGGAGATCATATCCCCCCTTATGTATTACACATGGGAGATCATATCCCCCCTTATGTATTATACATGGAGATCATATCCCCCCTTATGTATTATACATGGAGATCATACCCCCCCTTATGTATTATACATGGAGATCATATCCCCCTTATGTATTATACATGGAGGTCATATCCCCCCTTATATATTATACATGGAGATCATATCCCCCCTTATGTAGTTATGTTCCAAGACTTTAGACTTTACCTTACACATTAGCCGTGTGTGGGGAACTGTGTCAAACACGTTTGCAAAATCCAAGTATACTACGTCTATTGCCACCCTTCTGTCCAAGTATACCACGTCCACCGCCACCCCTCTGTCCAAGTGTACCACGTCCACAACCACCCCTCTGTCCAAGTATACCACATCCACCGCCACCCCTCTGTCCAAGTGTGCCACGTCCACCGCCACCCCTATGTCCAAGTATACCACGTCCACCCCCACGCCTCTGTCCAAGTATACCATGTCCACAGCCACCCCTCTGTCCAAGTATACCATGTCCACAGCCACCCCTATGTCCAAGTATACCATGTCCACAGCCACCCCTCTGTCCAAGTATACCATGTCCACTGCCACCCCTATGTCCAAGTATACCACGTCCACCCCCACGCCTCTGTCCCAGTATACCACGTCCACAGCCACCCCTCTGTCCAAGTATACCATGTCCACAGCCACCCCTCTGTCCAAGTATAATATGTCCACAGCCACCCCTCTGTCCAAGTATACCACGTCCACCCCCACCGCTCTACCCCAGTATACCGCGTCCACAGCTACCCCTCTGTCCAAGAATACCATGTCCACCGCCACCCCTCTGTCCAAGTATACCACGTCCACAGCCACCCCTCTGTCCCAGTATACCGCGTCCACAGCCACCCCTCTGTCCAAGTATACCACGTCCACCACCACCCCTCTGTCCATGTATATACCATGTCCACCGCCACCCCTCTGTCCAAGGTTTTGCTCACCTTCTCATAAAAATAAATCAGATTTGTTTGACAACTTCTGTCTTTCATGAATCCATGCTGTCTGTTGCTGAATGGCTCCGCCCACTGCCCTGAAACTAGGAATAATGCCTTCTGTCTGTTTAAGAAGACTTTACTGAGCTTTGCACTGATTAGTACGAAAGTAAAAGTGTGAAAATTAAATCACAGATTTAAAATCCCTGTATAGGCCAAACTTTGTTTTATTTCTTGGCTAGAAAAAGGGAGGAGTAAAAAATTCAGATGAGTTTTTTTTTTTTTGTGTTTCTGCCCCATCAGGTAGAAATCCCTTAAATTCCTGTCCCCGGAGCCACAACAGGAGGTGAGTGAAAATTCCTACAAAGTGAGAGGAATTCCCCTTTTATACAGTTGCCACCTGAATAAATGACCCTCATTGGAAGATTAATTTTCATCTCTTGTTCCTGTGACAATTTAAAAATCTTTTGACTCCCCCTCACTTTAAAGGATGAATCTCCACAGTGGGGACACAGATAGCAATAGAAACCCAGCAAAGGGCCCAACCCTTCCTTACACCATCCAAAATTGTTTTGCATTTACATACACTTTACAGGTAAAATATAGTAAATTGTGTGATCATCAAAAAATACACTATATGTTCAGTTAAAAATGAAGTCGCAGAATAACTGTCTTTGTTATTTATTTTTTAGATTCTGAAACAAAGAAATCATGACTTCTGCCACAGATGCCACAAAGATGATAAAACATCTTAGATGGAAATTAATAGAAGTGTTTGAGGAGGACACAGAGGGTTTCTGTGATGAGCTACGATCTCAAGGCCTCATAACCGCGGATGAGATGATTCAACTTCAACATGATGAAGATCCAAGAGGGAGAGTTGAAAAAATGATGAGCATTATAGTTCAGAAAGAAGAACACTGTCAGAAATTCCTGTGTCATCTTGAGAACATGATCCCCAGATTTCCAGCACTGAGTGACCTGTCCCACCACTTTCCAGAAAGTAAGTTATCTGAGCTATAGAAGTATTTTAGGCTGGGGGATCTCATCCTACCTATCCCACCGTACCTTCAGTGTCACTTACAATTCTACTTCCTCTTCTCCTTTTCTTTTTTCCGGATGAGTCTCCCAAGGTTCTGTTTTTGGTTCTATTCTCAATCTACTCCTCCTCCCTGGGTCAGCCTTCCATGGCTTTCAATACCATTTCTATGCTGATGAAACCCAAATCTATCCCTCTACCCCTCAGCTCACAACATCAGTCTCCTCACGCATCACTAAATTACTGACCAACATATCAGACTGGATGTCACATCACTTCCTCAAACTCAATCTATCCAAAACCAAGATCATAATATTTCCTCCCCCCGCGTGTCCTTTCCCCTGACTTTTTTTGTCAAGATCAATGACCTAGCTACTAATCTGTCCCTGCAAGCCAGGGTACAAGGTGTAATCCTGGACTCTGAACTTTCCTTTTGGCCCCACATCCAATCACTTTTCAAAGTTTATTGCCTCAACCTCCAAAAACATTTCAGAAATATACCCCTTCCTAACCAATGACATCACAAAGCTCCTAATCCACTCCCTGGACATCTCTTGCCTTGACTACTGCAACTTCCTCCTCCTTGGATTACCTTTACATAGGCTAGCCCCCCTTCAGCCCATCATGAATGCTGCTGCCAGACTCATCCACCTTACCAACTATTCAGTGTCTGCCACCCTCTCTGCCAATCCCTCCATTGGCTTCCGCTCACCCAAAAAAATTTAATTCAAAATACTAACAGCTTACAAAGCCATCCACAACTCGGCCCCCAGCTACATCACCAACCTGGTCTCAGAATATCAACCAAATCACACTCTTCGTCCCTCCCAACACCTCCTGCTCTCTATCTCCCTTTTTGCCTCCTCCCATGCTTGTCTCCAGGACTTCTCCTGAGCCTCTCCCATCCTATGGAATTTCCCTACACCAATCTGTCCAGCTATCTCCTACTGTGACCACTTTTTGATGATCCCTGAAAACATTTCTCTTCAGAGCTTATCCTGCCTCCACCTAACAACTGCACTTTTATTTTCTCCATCAGCCCGTCCCCCACAGTTATTACCTTTTGTATCACTTGATCCTCCCCTTTTAGATTGTGAGCTCTAATGAGCCGGGCCCTCTGATTCCTACTGCATGAAATTGTATTGTAACTATCAGGGCTTTTTTTCCCGCAGGGGAACGCTGACACCTCCAGCACTAAATGTATGTGATGGCAAGGGGTGATGGGGTGTGCTGGAAGGTCTATTGATGTTGGCTGCTGGGGGATCTATTTTTGCATGGAGGTCTATTGTTGCTAAGGGGGGGAGGTTCTATTGCTTCTGGCTTTGGGAGAATTATTGTATTGCTTATCTTGTTATCATTAATAAATTCCATACAAAGTACTTAGCACCATAAAATTATACTTGGCTCTGTATTCTCTAAAAGGAGCAGTACTGGGAGGTGGGTAGGGGGTGGAACCAAGGGACAGTGCTTGGAGGTGGGGGAAGGCGGAGACAAGAAGTGACTCAGAAGGGGGCGTTTCTGCACCTATTTTATGAGAAAAAAAACCTCCGGTAACTGTACTGTCTGCCCTCATGTTGTAAAGTGTTGAACAAACTGTTGGTGCAATATAAATCCTGTATAATAATAATTCACTAAGAATTAAGCATTTCATGCATTTTTGCCTTAGAATAGCTCATGATGTAGTCAATTTAATAAAAACATGTTATATTTTAAGAATGAGTTAGATGTTTCTATTTTGCAATATTTAGCACTTCATTTAGTATTATTTTTTGTTGCTTTATCTCAATTTTTATAACATTGTACAACAGTGAGTAGAATGTATTTTGCGGTTTTTTCCATGTGTATTTGGCCATGCATTTTTGCCCATGCGTTTTTGATGTGTTTTGCAGGCTTTTTTAAGGATTTTTTTCAAACTGGACAGATTAAAATGCAAAAAGCATCAAAATCGTATCAAAAACACATAAAAAACACACTACACATGCATTTCTGCAGTGTCTATTGTACCAAAACGCAGCGCTTTGCGTTTAAAAAAGTCCCTGCACTTTTCCAAAAAAGGCACAGGTGAAAACTCGAAGATGTGAATGTGTCCCATAGGAGATCATGTTAAATGGACTGCAGTGCGTTTCTGCAAAATGCAAAATGCACTGCAAAACACTTAGGTGTGAACCTAGACTGTTGTATTTATTGTTTTATTTATTGTATTAAACTATTTATACCAGTAATGATTAACATAAGGATATATATTAAAAACATTTTACTCTTTTAACAGATAAATTGAAGATTTTCCAGGAACTTCTTGTCAGATTAAATATGGAGCATTTAAATAATTCCAAACTGACATTGAGTAACATCCTAGAAATCGGAGCAGAGACTCTGAGTGATGTCCATCCCCAGACCATTCAAGATGTTCCGTGGCATTTTTTGAGGAAGCTGATGGCCATGAACAGAGCTGCATTTAATACTCAGTATGGACAAGATACACAAATAATCAATTCCACTGAAAACATGTTTGAGTCAATGATTGAAGGGGTGTAGTTCAATTGAATCCATTCACCCCCTGGATGTCCTCTGTGCTCTCCTCCATTGTTCAGACAGTTTTCTACAACAAGAGATTGTATCTAAATTGTCCATGTGCCAGTTTGCCGTCCCACTCCTTCTCCCCTGCTGCTGATGGGTCACACTGCACCCTCATGCTTTGGGCAAAGAGGGACATTTTGAAGAAGTGGAGACCTCAGTCACTGACTGATAGGAAAGGGTTCAGTGAGGAAAATGTGGTGAATATTTCCATGCCTATTTTCTCCTTCATCAGACTGGGTGACACCAAACTATCCAAATCTAAAATCCTGAATCAAGTTCTTAATCCAGCCCAACAACACCAAAACTTCTTCATACACGATGATATGGAGGGAGGAAATATCGAGAGGAAAATATCTGATGGCCTTGTGGAAATGTCCTGGTATTTTCCCTGTGGTAAGTCTGATGTTTTCCCAGAACCCATTGCAGTGACCAACCTACGAGGAGACCTGGAGACCAACATGAACCAATTCACATTTCTGACTCGAGTCTCATCAGCTGTATTTATATTCATTGAAAGTATTTCTCAGATACAATTCAGATTGTTATCATCCTTCAGTAACACTGACTCACAGTTTTATTTTATTGTTACTCCAGAAAAGGGGAAAAAAATAAGTAAGGAGACCTCAAAGCACATAACAAATCTAATGACAATTTTACAGATGAGTGCAACAAATATTATTCTGAAAACCAGCACAGACAATGATGCAGCACTGGTGACAAAAATTCAGAATGGCATTGAGAATGCTTTAAAAAACAGTCAGAAAGAAAGACGAAACCTGTGTAGTGCTACAAATATAACTGAAGGACTTCATATATTTGTTGATGAGAATTCCGCTGAATGTCAGAAAGCAAAAGCAATTGCAAATAATATTACTTCAGTAATAAAAAATGTGGAAGGGTATAAAAAGGAAACATTGAAATTACAGGGAGATCTGTGGAAGGAATTGTCTAAAGTAGAAAAAGAAATTTGCAGAATGACGAGACAAGGGGGAAAAGATGCACAAGAATATCAATCTGAGCTCAAACAACAGATCAGATCACTCCATGAAAAACAATACAAACATGACATTCCTGTAGGCATAGTGCATTTTACTGAAGCAATTACTGACCTCTCCAAGGCTGAAAAACATTATTTCTTGAAATGGATGAAATTTGAACTGGATTCAATTGTAAGAAATAACATTTCCTTGTTGCAGTCTGAATACAAGGCAAAATGTAACAGTAAATCATATACTTCAGAACTTAAGCAGCTGGATCAGAGAATCTCAGACAGTTCTTTAGGAATAGAACATTTCCTACGTGAGCTGGGACAGTTGTATGAGGCTGAGTATTCCACAGTTGTTAACAAACAGAATAATAAAACCACAAGACAATTCACCAAACTTCCAGGAATTGCTGCTGATCTCCTATTAGATGGGTTCCCCTTAGAGTTGATTGATGGTAACGCCTCTAATATTCCATTACAGTGGATAACTGATGTTCTGACTGAGCTAGACAATAAGACAGGAGGACAATGCAAAATGAGAGTAATCACAGTGCTGGGAGTGCAGAGTACAGGGAAGTCCACCCTTCTGAACACCATGTTTGGTCTGCAGTTCCCGGTGGCCAGTGGACGATGCACACGAGGAGCCTTCATGACTCTCCTGAAAGTAAAAGAGAACTTCCAAGAGGAGCTGGGCTGTCACTTCATCTTGGTGATTGACACTGAGCCGCTGAAAGCTCCAGAGTTGGCCTCTTTGGAGGACAGCTATGAACATGACTATGAACTGGCCACACTGGTGGTGGGGTTGAGTGATATCACCATCATCAACATGGCCATGGAGAACCCATCAGAAATGAAGGATATTTTACAGATTGTGGTCCATGCTTTTCTTCGGATGAAAGAAATCAGGAAGAAGCCCAGCTGTCAGTTTGTACATCAGAATGTCAGTGATGTATCTGCTCATGAAAAGAACATGAGAGACAGGAAGAAATTTCTAGAACAACTTGATGAAATTACAAAAGTAGCTGCAAATATGGAGAATAAACATGGAATTACCTGTTTCAGTGATGTGATGGATTATGATCCCGAGAAACACAACTGGTACATTCCTGGACTGTGGCAAGGGGTTCCACCAATGGCTCCAGTAAACTTTGGCTACAGTGAAAATGTTTATGAATTAAAGAAATATTTGCTGGAATTTTTAAAATCTCCAAATTCTAATAGAATTGAATGCAAAATCCCTGACTTCGTCACATGGATAAAAAGTTTGTGGAGCTCAGTGAAACATGAGAAATTCACCTTCAGTTTCAGAAACAGTCTGGTGGCAGAAGATTATACCAAGCTGTCTATGCAATACTCCCAGTGGGAATGGGACTTCACCAAAAAGATCCATAGCTGGATGATCACCAAAGAAACTTACATCAGAAATCAATCCTCAGCCAGTCTCAGTGATGAGATGTACATGCAGTTTAAAGTTGATCTTCAGAGATTACTGTCAGAAGAGGAATATACAATGCTGAAGCTACTGGAAATGTATTTTGACAGCAAATGTGAGAATGTTCATCTCATTGAACGATACAAAGAGGATTTCTTCATAAGTGTGAGATTCCTGAAGAAAGAACTGGAAAGGAAAGCGCTTAATACACTCAATGAGGCAGTTTCAATCCAGAAAGGCAAATTCAAGATTCCTGATATTCAGAAGACATCTCAGAAACTGATCGAGAAAGAAATAACAAATCTCCTAAAAAACTGCAGAGAAAGGAATTGTGAACTTGGTGACATGGAGGCAAAGCAAGAATTTGAAGAGATGTGGAAGAAAACCCTCTCTGATTTACAAATAGAGGAACTGACAAGACGTAACATCGGACAAATGATTCTTCATCAGATTAAGAATGAAATGGGTGTAAAGGGAGGCGGTATTAATGAAGATCTAATCAGTGTGATGAGCTTGGATGACTATGGGATCAATCCATTTGTTCCTGACAAAAGCCACGTTGAAAAGACTTTTTTTTCCTCATATCGCAATGTATTCTTTATAAGTCAGGCATACCTGGACAAGATAGAAGGTCTTGCAATGACTTTAATAGATATGTGTGACACATACATCAAAGAGAAGGCAGGCACCACAGGGGATTATGATGATACTTACTTTCAGGAATTGCTACACATGATCAATTATAAACTCAAAGACAAAACTACTCACAAATGTCACTTTTCTCCCAAGTTTGAGTTAGATGTAAAACTTTTTATCTTTGGAAGAGCATCTAGAGCATTTCAGGGCATACATGACAGGTTCATTCAAGGAAACGACCCCAAAATTTGCCTTGAAAAATTAAAACCTCAATATTTGGCCACATTTAAGAGCATATTCCATGAGAAAGATGAATGTCAGAGCACTAACTGATCATATTCTGTGACATCTCGGCAAGGAAATCATTAATGACATTTTACAAAGTTCTGAAAGTCATATATTTAGCAGCAGAAGTGCATTTCAGTTAACTGTGCTTGAGGGCCTGCTGAAGAAAAAAGAATTTGAATGCTTTTTGTTGTACATTAATCATTAGAAGACCTTTGTGAAAGGCTGGATCCGTCATTACATTATTGAAAAATATCAGAGTCCAGAAACTCTAAACTCCTTCGTAGAAAAGCTTTTATCTCCAATCATTGAAAAAATTGAAGAAGTCCTGAAGAGTGAGGAATGTGTGAAATCAGAGACCATTGTGACATTTCTGGAAAGTTTCTGCAAGTCACTAGACAAAGAAATAGTGATCTCACAGAATAAAATGACAATGATTACTTTCCACAACACAGCAAATGGCAGCCAGTTCTCTGAGGACATTATTTTCTATCTTCCCAGCAAAATGGAGCAAATTTTATCAGACGCAGAATTGTCAGACATTGAACGCCTTCTCTCCAGAGTCACACTAAAGCCTCAGGAGGAATTGTTGAAGAAAGTGATTGGCTGGGATAAGCAGTGTCCATTCTGTAATGTCCCCTGTGAGAATGCTGGTGGTGATCACAAGGAGTACGCTGCATCTCTCCATAGACCTCAGGGACCGGGAGGATACAGATGGGACAAAGATGAAACTTTAGTCAATGACATCTGTGGTCACTATATCCGCTCTCCCCAGACCCCGCATTCTCTATATCCGCTCTCCCCAGACCCCGCATTCACTATATCCGCTCTCCCCGGACCCCGCATTCACTATATCCGCTCTCCCCAGACCCCGCATTCACTATATCCGCTCTCCCCGGACCCCGCATTCACTATATCCGCTCTCCCCCCAGACCCTGCATTCACTATATCCGCTCTCCTCGGACCCTGCATTCACTATATTGGGTCACCCCGGATCCTGCATTCACTATATCCGCTCCCCGGACCCCGCACTCACTATATCCGCTCTCCTCGGACCCCGCATTCACTATATCCGCTCTCCTCGGACCCTGCATTCACTATATCCGCTCTCCTCGGACCCTGCATTCGCTATATCCACTCTCCCCGGACCCTGCATTCACTATATCCGCTCCCCGGACCCCGCATTCACTATATCCGCTCTCCTCGGACCCTGCATTCACTATATCCGCTCTCCTCGGACCCTGCATTCGCTATATCCACTCTCCCCGGACCCTGCATTCACTATATCCGCTCCCCGGACCCCGCATTCACTATATCCGCTCTCACCCGGACCCTGCATTCACTATATCCGCTCTCCCCGGACCCCGCATTCACTATATCCGCTCTCCCCGGACCCTGCATTCACTATATCCGCTCCCCGGACCCCGCATTCACTATATCCGCTCTCCTCGGACCCTGCATTCACTATATCCACTCTCCCCGGACCCCGCATTCGCTATATCCACTCTCCCCGGACCCAGCATTCACTATATCTGCTCTCCCGGACCCCGCATTCACTATATCCGCTCTCCCCGGACCCAGCATTCACTATATCCGCTCTCCCCGGACCCAGCATTCACTATATCCGCTCTCCCCGGACCCAGCATTCACTATATCCGCTCTCCCCGGACCCCGCATTCACTATATCCGCTCTCCCCGGACCCAGCATTCACTATATCCGCTCTCCCCGGACCCCGCATTCACTATATCCGCTCTCCCCGGACCCTGCATTCACTATATCTGCTCTCTTCAGACCCCGCATTGACTATATCCACTCTCCCCGGACCCCGCATTCACTATATCCGCTCTCCCCGGACCCTGCATTCACTATATCCACTCTCCTCGGACCCCGCATTCACTATATCCGCTCTCCCCGGACCCGGCATTCACTATATCTGCTCTCCCCAGACCCTGCATTCACTATATCCGCTCTCCCCGGACCCCGCTTTCACTATATCCGCTCTCCCTGGACCCCACATTCACTATATCCGCTCTCCCCGGACCCTGCATTCACTCTATCCACTCTCCCCGGACCCTGCATTCACTATATCCGCTCTCCCCGGACCCCGCATTCACTATATATGGTCTCCTCAGACCTTTCATTCACCAAATCCGCTCTCCCCGGACCCCGCATTCACTATATCTGGTCTCCCCAGACCTTTCATTCACCAAATCCGCTCTCCCGGACCCTGCATTCACTATATTTGGTCTCTCCAGACCTTTCATTCACTAAATCCGCTCTCCCCGGACCTCGCATTCACTATATTTGGTCTCCCCAGACCTTTCATTCACTAAATCCGCTCTCCCCGGACCCTGCATTCATTATATCCGGTCTCCCTGGACCCTGCATTCACTATATCCACTCTCCTCGGACCCCGCATTCACTATATCCGCTCTCCTCGGACCCCGCATTCACTATATCTGCTCTCCCCGGACCCTGCATTCACTATATATGGTCTCCCTGGACCCTGCATTCACTATATCCGCTCTCCCACAGTACACAGAACACGGAAATGCAATTATTTTAGTAAATATAAACTGCTAAATACCATTTCACATCAGCAGTATATAGCGGTCTTGTAGCAATACACACTAAACTGAGCATGTGCAGAGTGTCTCCACACAATATGTCTTATCAGGGGAACACTGAAAGAAGGGGAGGATCAGAAAAGACAGGACCAAACAGCATTTGTACACAATGCAGAGGATTAACCCCTTAGGTTCCACAGTGAGTATAACAAGCACGCTTTACTGCATCTACAGACTGATTGTACTGTTGGGGGTTTAGTAACACTTGAAGCATTAATCGCTCTGAATTGCACCTATTATTATTATTATTATTATTATACAGGATTTATAAAGCGCCAACAGTTTACGCAGTGCTTTACAACATGAGGGCAGACAGGACAAACACAATACAAATAATACAGGAGGATTCAGGGGCCCGGCTCGTTAGAGCTGATAATCTAAGAGATGCATAATATGCCTTTCTGTGCATTGTGACAATGTATGCCGTAACTGTCGTATTACCGCAGGGCACCAGTGTGGACGGGACCTGACTTCTAAGAGTCTTGTGACCACAGGCTGCTTTGTGGAGGAGAGCATTAGGATTAGAGATGAGCGAATCGAACATGACGAAGTGGAATTCGTTCCGAAGATTTGGAAAAATTCGATTCGCGACGAATCCGAAGATTAGCAAACTTCGGATGCACGAATTTTCCCAAAAATGGCAGCGACATGTGTGGCGACGGAGAAAATGGACAGAGAAGATGGGGCGGGGATCTCTGGGAAGGCGCGCAGACAAGGCGCGCTGACCCATAATGCATTCATGACATGTGATCGCATTAGCCAATCAGCAGCCAGCCAGCACTGTGTAATGGTGGAGCTATAAATCGCGGCCATCTTAGAATTCTCCATTAGCCTCCGGTCATTCAAGAGAGACAAACCTGTGTGTATTAAGGGACAGAGTTAGGGCCACAGAGACTTTAGGGCCACAGAATCGTTACTCAGGGACACAGAATCGTTACTCAGGGACACAGTGTCTCTGTCGTCTGCTCACGCTGCTGACGGCTTCCGCTTTTTAACCTAGGCCTGTGTATGGCTTCAGAATACTGCTGCCTACGGGTTTGCATCACTTAACGCAAATCGTTGACAAACGCTGGGACGTTCAGTGTTGTGCGCATTAAGCCAGACACCAAAGGGCAGCACAGACCTGTTATTACTCGCTCAAGCAGGCTGAACAAAACCAGTCCTCTACCACAAATTGGACCCTGGACCTGCCCAGGGTCTCGTAAGTAGATTGCACGAGAGGAGTAGAGTTCGTTATTGAATTAACTGTGAGGGGACTTTTAAACCTAGGCCTGGTGTATGGCCTTCAATTGAAGCTGCTTCTGCTCCGCCACATCTGCCATTGGACTCGTTGATAGTCGTCTCCCCACGCGGCTGCTGTTGGGGGACTTTTTAACATAGGCCTCTGTATGGCCTTCAATTTTAGCTGCTTACGCTCCGCCACTGCTGCCATGGGGCCCACTGTACCCCCCTCCTCATCCTGCTGCCAGCCCGTAATCTGCCACGGCCCCCGTACCGACTCCTCATGCTGCTCGCCAAGGCCCGTAATCTGTCATGGGCCCCCTGTACCGCGGCCTCCTCATGCTGCTCTGCCAGGTCCAAGTGTGTCATGCGGTTCCCTGTACGGCCTCCCATTGCTGCTGTCTCCATCGCCACACTCTGCCATGTGCCACTTTCAGGTCTCCTCACCATGCTGGTGGGTTCCATTTTGTCATAGGGTGCTGTATGGACCTCCCATTGCTGCTGCCTCCACCGCCACATACTGTGGCTCCACCACAACTCTGATTTTGGCCCCGTGACTGCCCAAATGAGTGAAGAGTGTGCGGTGATTCTAGAATCGACGGCACCATCTGCATGTCATACTGACTGACATATTATTTCTCTTCCACAGCAGACTCCAAGGGCATTTAAAATTAAAGGTACAGTGTTCTGCACTAATTAAAGGCTCTCTGAAGCCTAGAAAACCCTTTTTATAAGTTAAAATTCGCAGCGAATATTAATTCGGCACGGAAGCGAATTTTATTCGCCCCGAATATCCGGACGAATCAGCCGAACCATATTTTTGAATCATTCGCTCATCTATAATTAAGGATCCTAACGGAGTTTGTTTAACCTATCAATAACTAACTAACACAGGGGCGGACATGGAAACTCATGGGGGCCTCAGGCATAGGGCGAAACATGGGGCCCATTTTGTCCTTCGCCCAAACTCAAAAAAAGCCTATGAAAAAGGTACCAGGAGCATCTCGTGGGGCCCTACTGACCCACGGGCATCTCAGCAGTGCCAGAGTTTCCCAAATGGTCAGTTCCGCCCCCTGCCAAACTACCCCAAACTATTTGTTCATTATGTCACTGTAGCAAATAGGAGTGAGCGTAGATGGGAAATGGCCAGGGATAGCAATGACCAAGGAATAAATTTCTTAACTGAAAAGGAAGCTCACATTACAGTATGAACCCCATCACCTAAACACTGGCCTATCCAAAAAGCCAATAGCACAGTGCCACGTGTGTGAGTGTCCCTCTCTCTAATTTCAAGCCATATAAAAATATGATCACAATTGATGAAAATAATTCATTGTGATCTGCTGAAGAGTCATTTTTTGGGACAAAACAGGTCAATTTTAAAATTAAATTTTATTATTTTTGT